AGTAGACCACCGTCGAGGGAAGAACGTCGTGAAGAGCGCAAGGAATATCTCAATAATATCATTGATACTAATGATAAATTGAGGGAAAAGTTAGTAACCCATTTTTTCTGGAAGAATTGCGGTTAAATTTGAATTTTTTTCAGGTTGATTGAGGCCCAAGAAGAGCTCAAGCAACAGCTGATTTCTGGAATTGCGCAGACGCAAAGTATGCGCGATATGGCAGCTGCGACAGCAAGTCTAATGTCAGGTGAGCTAGTCCGCTGGGGAAGTGTTGCACTAGGCGCGCCCGAAGTCATTAGTCCAAAGCATTTCTTGAAGAATTGCACATCAAATACTCATACTATTAAATCGATCAATACGTATGTTTTGCATATCTGCTCGTTTTCAGCTTGGCGCGGTGGTCCGTGGCGCGGTACTTATCCACCAATAAGTGCCAATGGTGTCGTGCATCGGAATAGCAACAACTCGTCCCCGACTAAAAATCATAAAATCGTTGCCAATCATGTGGTCGATGGACATGTGAGCAGGTAAGACATTTTGATCACCCTTGTACTTTTGTAACTTAGTGGAAAGCTAAATTTTGACAAAACTAGCATGTTTCGCACACGTGATGCACACGGTGAATCATGCGTGATACACATGGTGAATCATGCATGATACACACGGCGAATCACCGACATCACGACCTTTTTTGGATTTCTGTACATCATCCCTAGCACTGTCAACCTGTAGACTAGGTAAACTCAACAAAGAATTGAATAAAACGAGTAAAACTTCTTCGTTTGTGCGAGTTATCTTAAAATTTCCTCATGCAGGGCCACAGAAGAGCTGGTTTCTTGGTTGCGCTCATTGGATGTCGATGACACTTCGATACGCTTGATAGTGGCGGAACAGTACACTAAACAAGACATATTCGAGTTTGTCACTAGAAAAGAGCTCCTGAACTTGGGCGTGACGTAAGTTTCAAATTTGGACGAGTTGTCTCCCACATTTGACCCACTTATTCCAGAGGTGGAGCCAGTTGCCGAATTTGGCGTGTTGTCAGTGAAGCACGCGAACGCGCACGCCGCGCGCCAGTCTTCCTCTCGCCGATGCGAAGCCGCGACGATTCGCTGGACGATTATCACTCGTCCATAGCCGATGAAATGTATACCGTTGCTGAATTATCATAACGTAGAGCCCATATGCGATGTGCGAGTTCCAACACACACCAAATGTACGAGTTTATTCGCCCACTCTCCCTCCGGTTACGTGTATGTGCCATAAGATACAAAGAGATTGTTAATCTTTTAGCGCTATGCTAGTTTTCCCAGCCTAATGTCAATTATTTCGCATGATGTGTGGACGAGTTCACACGCTAATGCACCAATGATGAAGATGATGATTGATGATTGATTTCTTGTTTTTTTTT